GGTGGCTTCAGAATTTCTGGAAGTTTTATATCTCTATGGCTGTCATAGCAGACCGAGAATGCTTCTGATGTGGCTGTTTTCAGACAAGTCATTTGATGTTAAACCTGAGTCTCAGAAAGCAATGTTAAATGCATATTTAGAGAACTGAAGGTAAAATGTGTAAGGTTCCGTGTGTAAGTTCTTCTCTCTCTTGCCTGAGAAGCTTCTTATCAGAAATTTAGTGCAAGAGAGGATTATTAGAAAAAAGGATATTGCAAAGCTAATCTGATATATGGGGGCAAGGACCAAGAACAGCTAAAGGGGGATTATGAGATAAAAGTTCAGAGCACAGTTTTTTGCATAAGCAAACATGTTGAGCCAAATGCTCTGGATGTAAAAAAAATTCTGGATTTGGAGATCTTTCCTTTTAAGAAGAACCATTCTCCATTGTCAAATATCAGCATTTGTGGCACGTGCTGAGATGAGCTTGAGGCACATGCCCCAGGCTTACAAGCGGATTGGCTGAGCCCTTTAGAGAAACAGATGGCCTGGTGGCAATTGTGGGCAGGGGCTGCTTTGCCTCCCCTGGAAGGAGGGAGAGGTATGTGACCCATGATGATGCTGGAGTCAGTGTGGAGGGGTGGAGCTAACAAAGAGTTAAGCGTGGCTCCGCTATCCCCCTTCCTCTTTCACCAATTGCTCAGCCCTCCCTCCCTCCCTGTAGGCAGTGCAGGCTTCAGCTGGTTGCCTTATGGGCTGGATAGGAATTTTTTGCCCCTTCTTTGATTGTCATAGAAGGGGGGTGTTTTTGCCCACCTTGCAGTGTCATCAGGTGACTGTGGGAACTTGGACGTGGTGGTCCCTTAAATAGGATTGGTCGCTTGGCAGGTCAGTGCAGGAGAAGGGAAAAACTGATTTGGTGATCACTATATGGCACCTTCCCTGTTGGGGTCAAGGAGTTCATCAGGCTCAGCCTTCAGATTTTGTGGCCCAGGGCAAGGAATGAGGGACTGCCTTTGGGACCATCCTGGTTAGGCCCCTTCCCTCTAAGTGTTGTGGCCGGGGAGAGCTCCAGAGCAGCACCCATTTCCTTTGCCGGCTGGAGGCAAACCAAAGGGATGGCTAGCACCCGGAGCAAAGGTGGCTTGCCCAGCATGTGGCAAGGAGGTGGTCTGGAACAACGCCTGGCCTTGGCCTGTTGCCGCACTCGGGGTTTGCCCTTGCCACGAGAAGTTGAAAATAATAAAGTGGTTAAACCCAATTTGGTGTCTGTCTCTTCTGAGTGTGTGTGGGGGAGCAATACAGCCCTTTTCCAGTTGCTAGGTGAGAAGGTAAAGGAAGTACCCATTGACTTGCTGAAGTATGCCTCACCCTTCTTTCATCACCATGGCGAACATAATTTTTCCTTTATCTCCTTTCCCAAGGTGATTGAAGCTTGGTCAAGAGCTTCTTCTGTTGTCCCTGCAAATAAGGTGTTTCAAAACCATTTCTCTTTTATTTTTTAAGTGGTTAGGAAGCCGTCTGGCCCTTGAGATCCCATCGTGTATACAGGTTGTTATTTTGCATTGCTGGCTAGAACCATTTTGTACAGGAGAGCTGAGGGAACCTACTGACTGAGTTCAGGGTAGCTGGGGATGTTACATTATTTGACTGGCTGAACTATTAGTGTGAGTTATCACAATGTGGTTCTTTTTCTAAGCTCACTGACTGAGTTCAGGGTAGCTGGCTGAACTATTAGTTTGAGTTATCACAATGTGGTTCTTTTTCTAGCAGAGAGGACTAAGCTCTGTGAAACTGACCTTTAGAGCAGGTGGCTGCCTGAACAGCAAGCAAACCCAGGCGCACTTTCTATTTAGTGCAGAAATACTGGCAGATTTACAACAGTTAGCATTTGGGCCCAGAAGTCCCTGCAGTGAATAGCTCTGAAAAAAACTTTAGACAGAATAATTGATGAGTTTTTAAAAGTATTTGACACTGACCGTGTACAACATCTGGGTGTTTTTTTTCCAGAGAGGTTTAGGCCACTATATACAATGGTGACATTTCAAAACAATATCCTTAAATTGAGAACTAGTGGAGAAGCCTGTACCCATAAGCTTCATTTGCTTTACATTTTTAAAGTGTTTATTAGTGTGGCACACATTCCAAGGACTCCTGGGAAAAAAGAAAAATGGCTTTGTATAAACACACCAGTACTGTTTCCAAGGAAGGATTTTCTCTTTTGTTAAGAGGCATAAACCATTCATCCCAGGTGCTAGGATAGCAACTGAGTTATTTCTGCATTTAAGGTTGCTGTCACAATCCTGGCCTTCTTATTTGAATAATGTTGTCCATATTGTACAGCTGAGGCCAAAGAGAAGAAAACCATTGGCAGAAGCAGACCTTCAGCTTAGAGGAGTTCATGAACTGCTTTTTAAAACTAATTCAGCCAGCCAACCTCTCATGTGTGTAAAAAGAAATTGTTACAGAATTAAACTAGGTAACAAAAGAAACCCAAACAAACAGAAATGTAGTGCAAACAATTTGAATTGGCTAGGATTTCATAACGCTGCTGTCTTCAAAGTTTTTTCAAAATTACATATCTCTAAATCCATAGGGAATGCTTGGAAGGATTCAGTTTTTTAGCTAGCCTTCGTTCTGACAAGCTAGCTTTCTATGAATAGAGATGTGTGTTTTTTCACTCCATGGTGAGGCATTTAAATATGGGATAGCCCCACGTGTAGTCTGGTATAGTCCAGCCCTGACTTCTTTAAATAGCAGTGCTATAATCTCTTTCTCTGTTTGAAGTCGGAAACTGTCTCTTCACTGTACGTGCAAGACACTGTTCCTATCTCCTAGGGATCTGGTTTTCTTCTGTTAGTTTTTTTCTTGTCCCTTCAAGGAGTGCTCTTCAGATGTGTTTTAGATTTCAAAACTGAACCACTGGAAATCATTAAGGGCAGTATGCCTAATGAGCAAAGTGTTGATGCAAGAGACCGGGGCTCAAATACGTTGGTGGCCCTGAGCAAACCATTCCAGGTTACTGAAAATATTTTTCCTCTGCATACTCAGCGATGCACTTGAGGCAGTTTCTGTCCATGGTTAAAACACAGAAAGATGAAGATCAAAATAAACGGACACATATTAAAACCTAAACAACCTAAACTCTAAGCAGTTAAGCAATATTGAGGGCTGCTATTTCAAACATGTTTGCAACATGATAAATGAGTCACAGCAAACCAATTTAATTACAATAGAGACCAATAAAAAAGTCAATATGAACAGAGAGGACAAAGTAATCAAACTCAGTGAAAGTAGGCCCTGGACTAAATTAATAGAACTGGGAACAGGTAGGCAGCAAGTGTGTCAGACTAAGCTTGCTATCTGTAAAATAGGAATGATGATTAATTGATGCTTTTGAGGATGATTTTTTAGAAGTCTAGCTGAAAAGCGGGAAGGCCTGTGGCTCAGTATTTCTCAGCCCCGAAAGTCCCTGGTTTATTTGTCTGTAAATATCAGACATGAAGGGTCCTGATTCTGGTTGGGACTGAAGCGCATGGGGAAGGGGTGTTTCAGTCTCCTTTTGTTGCCATTTTTCTCACGTGGGCTGAGGTCACACAGACTAAATAATCCACTTTCAAAGTACTTTACAACTGGATTTTACTGTGTGAACTGGCAAAATCCAATTCAAAAGTGCATTGAAAGTGGATTATTTAGTGTGTGTGACCGCAGTCCTGAAGTGGCCCAAGTAGAAAACAGCTGTTTACCCTGTTGGGGCAAACCTACAAGGACTCGGCATCTCTGTGTTTACCCCAACAAGGCAAATAGTGGTTCCACACCCCCACCTTGTCCTGCAGTCCTACTCACCATCAGGCCCCCATGGACCTGAACTACCAATTTCTCCTACAGTTCAGCTCTCAGGTAGCAGGAAAGCTCTTTATCTACCTGAGTCTCTGGAGAATCACTCCCACTCAGTGTCAACAATACAGAGTTAGGTGGTCTAAGGCAGTTTAATGTGTTCAAAGATTGTGTGCATTGAAATAATTTTTTAAAATTTGGATCTGTGGCCATATTGTGACAACTTAGCATGATTAACTAACAGCTCCCCCCCCCCCCCCCCGGCACTTCAGCCTTACGTGACTGATGGACAGTCTTTATAAATAAGGTGATGGCCAATGTTCCCTCTAAGCTGTGGAGTCCTGTGAGCAAAAATTCTACTTTGTGAGCTACTGGCATTAAAGTTGTGAGCGAGCGATTTGGCTGCCACATAAATTAGTTTGCTCTGGAGCCTTCCTTCCTGAGCTAAGACAAAAATGTGTGAGCCAGAGGCTAAAAAACTGTGAACTAGCTCACACTAACTCAGCTTAGAGGGAACACTGGTGGTGGCTCTTATTTCTTATGGCCTATTAAAATATTTAATTCGTTTTTCAAACTATATTGGGTCAATTTCAGCTTATATTGTCCTTTAACTTGTAGAAACAACCGGAGGATGCCCCTGTATTGCTTTGGCTCCAGGGTGGACCCGGAGGATCATCCATGTTTGGCCTTTTTGTTGAACATGGGCCGTATGTTGTTCACAAGAATCTCACAGGTTAGTATGACTTGTTACTTCTTCAGAGGATTCCATGGAGATGTGAATATTATGTTTGTTATAGATTTTATACATCTTTGTCACAAATTTCATAGTCGTGATTGAACAGTTTATATTTATTCTACATTATTTGATGCTGAACAAGTTAGGTTCTTTTGCTGAAGCTGCTGATATCCATCTGACTATATTTTGGGCTAGAAATGAAAACTTTTTTTTACTGTTTATTTACTGTTTTTGTTACGGAAAAAAATGTCGTTCGAAAGACTTGGCTTTATATCATTCTGATGAGAAATAACTGTTACAGTGATAATGAATGAACTTATAAGGTTACAGGAGAAGTTTTCAAAATAACCTCTGTAATGGAATTCCTATTTGTACAAATGAGAGTCTGCCTGGTTTTACAAGGCTGTAGATAATATGAAGCTTATTCTTCCACGGCTGTAAACATATATTTTGCTTTGGAAATAGTTCACTATCATATCATTATCAGGCTTGATATGTCTTCAACAGTGCAATCCTAAACAGAGTTACACCCTTGTAAGCCCACTGACCAACTGATGGAGAAAGGTGTACTTCTGTTTAGGATTGTGCAGTAATCGTGCTAGGTTGAAAACAAGCTCAGTTCAGATCCTCACTGCAAGTGATATGTCCCCTTTCTTACCACTCACTCAGTGCTAGCTTCTGCACTGTGGTACACAGTGCTTATATCGTAAAGTGAAAAGGAGTTGGTATTCATATATAACGTTGCACTGGTTTTCATCAAGGACTTCGGAGTGCCCCCGGAAAGATGCTGGTACTCTGTACCAGTGAGTACTGCCACAAAAAAACCTCAACAACACACCCTGGTGGTGTGTTGTAATTCATGTAATTCATGTATGGAATACTAAAACACACCTGTGGGTCTGCAAGGAGTGTTGTCAGGGGAAGAGAAATTGATAAACCCGATCTGGGTCTAGGGTTCTAGAGGAGCCTAGACTACTCACTTTGCTTTTCACATTGTTACCAGTAAGTTCTTGTATCAGCTACAACTTTTTTGTGACTTAAATTTGTGAACTTCAGGAATGCTTTTTGTAGCTGTGCATCTCTTTTACCTGCATGCACATTTTAAAAAGCCTTGGTAAAACCGGTATTACATACATCAAAGTACTTTGAACCCATTCTGCATGCTGGAATGGAACATCTCATTGCTAAGATGTATTTTCTTGGCTTGTAAAATTGCCAAGTGGTTAATTCACAGCGGCTCATTTTAGGTATGCCCCATGATTATGAGAATTATATGTGAGCATACTAAAGCACAGTGGCAAGATAATTGCTCCTTAGCACTATATAGCCTTGAAAGTGCTGAGGCTGGGCTGGGCTGACTTGTTGACCCTGATGAGTCAGTCTTGCTTTCTTATGAGACTAAGATAACTGTTTTTGATTTGCCAGAGTCATCACATGGTGACTTCTGTGTATAATTCTGATTTGATCACAATGCCACATGTAACATCTTACTTTGATTTCTTTCATTTTCATAGTGTCAGAACGAAAGTTTGCTTGGACATCGAAATTCTCCATGCTGTATATTGACAACCCAGTAAGTTAAAATGTATAAAGGTTAGATTACAGGAAAGATTGAGGGTCAAAGAAGACGGGGACAGCAAAGGATGAGAGGGTTATACAGTGTCATAGATGCAATGAACATGAAGTTGAGCAAACTTCAGAGGACGGTGGAAGACCGGAAGGCCTGGCGTGATCTGGTCCATGGGGTCGCGAAGAGTCGGACTCGACTGTGTGACTGAACAACAACAACAGGACCAGAAGTGTGCCTTTCAAAAAAAACAAGCAAACCTTGCTATTCTATTAAAATCTCTGGGGCTTCTCTATAATGCAGTTTATACCATAGGTCAGACTAGTGTGTGTTTTATTGGCTGTTAGCCATGAAGACTGAAAGAAACCTCTGTATTCAGAGGAGGTGCATCACTAATGGCAGTTGCTGTGGGGCAACAACAGAGGGAGCCTTTGTCTTCTGTACCTCGCTTGTAGGCTTTCCTGGCTTGACTGGTTGGCCACTGTGGGAAACAGGATGTTGGACTAGATGACCTTTCAGTCTGACCCAGCAGGGTTCTTTTTATATTCGAAGCATGTTTTCAAGTCACAGAGTTTGTGCTATGATTAAGCCAAGTGAAAACAAACTGTGATTGGGGTCCAGATTCCACAGTGCTCATGAAGCTTGATTCCCATGCTCTCTACTATGAGCAGAAAGAGGATCGTCATCTTACACACTGGTACTTCTGATTGACCAAGAGAATGGTGAAATTCCACATACCGGCTGTAGGGCTGTGCTTGTGTACTTATATTATTGTGTATCAATAATAAATAATAACTAGGGATGGGCATGAACTGGCTCATGAGCCAAAATCTCTCGGGGAGGAGAGCTCTAGCGTTTTGGTGAGGAGGGTTGCCACCTGCCTAGTCTCAGAAGGTAGGGGGAGGGGAATGACATCTCACCCAGGACTGGTCTGTACTTGGCCTAGAACATTTAGAAATGCTAACCAAAATTAACCTTGCCTTTCATACAGTGAGGTTTTGCATCCCTACCACACATTCTTGGTGAGCAATCTCAAGCAGGCCCGTTCAAATGTAAGCCTCTTCCATGGGGATGGCTCCCAGGAAAGTGCTTTTTAGCATTACACCCTAAATTTACTTATCCCATCTTATTCTGAAATGAATTTAGTTCACTTTCCTTTCTAATGGCTGTTAGAAGTTTATTTTTTAAAAGGGAAGGCTTGATATATATTTACTTATTTGACAGGACAGTTTTCAGGGCAGTGTTTGTCATCTTGATTGACTTGTTATAAGGCTACCAAAATGTCTGATGCTAGGATATTTTGCTAGGATAATCTTGACCAGTGAGTTCTATCAAAGAAAGATTTCCTTAAGCAGTAAGTTTGGGAGGGTGGAGATCCAGGTCTCGGACTGTGCCAAGTAGAAAACCAGCATTTAACCCAGTTAAAGGGAAACCACATACCTAACACAATATCCTTTTGCTTGATGTGGAAAACAGCAGCACAGAGCTAGAAGCTAATTATTCCTCATCTATCCTTTTCCTCTTTTACCGTCAGGTTGGAACTGGCTTCAGTTTTACAGATGATACAGGATATGCAGTGAACCAAGATGATGTAGGAAGAGATCTATATAGGTAAATGCTCTTTTCTGGTGTGTTTGAAGAGATCTCTGAAAAGTGAGCCATGCCGAGCCCTCCTGTGTATTAAAATATTTGTAGCAACTCACATTTAGACTTGAATTTAGACAATACTGCATTTGTCAGAATTGTATGGAAAGGTGTTTCTTCATATACCGGGAACAGCTCAATCTCATAGTAATAGTGTTTAAATATCTGTGGAAGTTTAAGTATGTGTGTGGCAAAATGTCTTCAAGTTACATGTAGGGTTGCCAGCTCCAGACTGGGAAATTCCTGGAAACATGGGGGTGAAGCCTGGGGAGGACAAGGGACCTCAGTGGGGTACAGTGCCATAGAGTCCCCCCCCTCCAGAGCATCCATTTTCTCCAGGGGAACTGATCTCTGTTGTCTGGAGATGAGCTGTTATTCCAAAAGATCCCCAAATCCCACCTGGAGGCTGGCATCCCTATAATTGATTGCTCTTCCTTTCTGTAGGGATTGTATCAGTTTGTGTGTGTGTGGGGGGGGACTAAGAGAGTTCAGAAGACAGTTGAATTTAGACAATACTGCATTTGTCAGAATTGTATGGAAAGGTGTTTCTTCATATACCGGGAACAGCTCAATCTCATAGTAATAGTGTTTAAATATCTGTGGAAGTTTAAGTATGTGTGTGGCAAAATGTCTTCAAGTTACATGTAGGGTTGCCAGCTCCAGACTGGGAAATTCCTGGAAACATGGGGGTGAAGCCTGGGGAGGACAAGGGACCTCAGTGGGGTACAGTGCCATAGAGTCCCCCCCCCCCTCCAGAGCATCAATTTTCTCCAGGGGAACTGATCTCTGTTGTCTGGAGATGAGCTGTTATTCCAAAAGATCCCCAAATCCCACCTGGAGGCTGGCATCCCTATAATTGATTGCTCTTCCTTTCTGTAGGGATTGTATCAGTTTGTGTGTGTGTGGGGGGGGACTAAGAGAGTTCAGAAGACAGAGGGGAACAAAAACTGAATGACGTGAAACGCCGCGGCGACGCAGCACGAAGCAGGCGCGGGGGGGGGGGGGGGGAGATTGAGAGCTCTGTTAGGGGTCCAAAGCTAGGAGACTTGTTTAAGTAAAAGTTTGTTTTATTTAGATGAATCCTGGCTGACTCATAAAAGAAGCAAACATCTTTTCTTATGCAACAGGGTTGGGCGGAGTGCTACACAACTCTAATAGGTTTCGTTCCTGGCAGAGAGTGACAGGATAACTATACCTTTCCAGACAATTGTTTTGTTGAACAATAGAAATGTTATTACTCAATTGTTGAGCGAGATTGATGTGGCTTTCCTCAAGAAACCGCTTCTTTTCTAGAAACATTGCATTCCCCCCTCCCCTGCAAGCAAACCGCAATATGCTTTCCCTGTAAAAGGGCAATTTGGCTTGTGTCAGCTGTGGTAGGGAGTATAGTGTGAAATCGGATTATGTCAGGACAGTTCTCTATCTCAGCCACCCCTTCCTTTCCACCTCTGCCATTTTAGGAACTCTTTAAAAGTCTGATAAGTTTATTCAAACTGGGCGCTTCCCTCTTTGTAGTAATTTACTTCTAGCACATGACTGTTCTCCTCCTGCTTGACATAGAAGCTGTTTCAAAGCATCCATTGTTTATGGCCAAGGGTCTCCCCCCCCCCTTTTCCTTTTTTTGTTCCTTTTGACTCTGGTCCTGGGGAAAAGCTAATCAAAGGTATTATGGAAAACTGATTTCAGCTGTCCCTTTATAAGTTTCACGTTTTTGTACATATCTCCAGATGACTGTGAGGAAAAGGTAGAAAGGTCAGATTGAGGCTACTAGGAAAGTCAGAAATGAAGAATACGTTTGCAAAGGTGGAGAATACAGGTGTTAGGCTTTTTCATATAGTTATAAAACAAATTATGCCTTCAGACAGCTGTACATGTAATGGTTTCCAGTGTCAGGCTGGCATTTGGGAGGTCTGGTTCCTATCTGTCTTTAGCATGAATGTGAACCAGTCACAAGATGGAACAAGCCTACCTCACAGGCTTGTTGTGAGGAAAAATGGAAAAGAAGGAAAGCACGTGCTTTCCCTGAATTTCTTGTAGGTAAATAAGTTAAAAATACAAGGCGTTGCAGCAGTAGCTGAGAAGGCACATAAGTTGCCCAAACAGGGGGAACTATTCAGCCATATGTCATTGTGGCTGAGCGCAGAGGTAATGTTCCCCTTCTCCTAAGAAAGGTTAGGTGATGGGGGAGAATGCTACACATGCATTCCAACTCCTTTCCTCTCACATATGAATTCCTTCCTCCATTCTCTTTCAACCGGTACACAGTTTTGCATGCCCATCTTGGTTAGTATCCTCTAGGGTTTTAAACCCCTGGGTATAGAAGTTGACCATGGTTTATTTGCCTTTCAGCTCAGATTTTTCACGCAGAGAATATATACAGGTTGTAGTCGAAAGTTTTGTAATTAAACCTAATCGCTACCAAAAGCCGTAATAAAATGTGTGCTGCCAGAGCAGAAATCATAGTGCCTTTTCCTGAATTCTTGTTTTAGATTATTGTTCAATAGAATAAATAGCAAAGATAAGATTAAGTTGATGTCACTGTGGTTTTAAGTAAACAACTGTACAATAGTAAGAATACTTTCCTGGGAGTAAGCCCAGTTGAATAGATTAGAGTAGGATTCTGAATAGACCCATTTAGGACTACTCTCTAAGGTTGAAAGAAAAATTGTTTTAAAAGTGAAATTTACACACTCATGTGGTCATATTTTTTATATGTAGGCCTGCTTTCTGAAACATCTTGATGTGAAGGTTTTATTTACCAGAATGCAATGATATTTCACAGTTTTCATAGCAACTTTTCCCTATACAAATGTTTTGCTTTATCTGTATTTCAGCGCTCTTATCCAGTTTTTTCGGCTTTTTCCAGAGTATCAGAAAAATGACTTCTATGCAACAGGAGAAGTAAGGTGTTTTTTTTTGGGGGGGGGGTTGTTTACAATAACTGGTGAGCATGAAATTCTCAAAAAACCCCCCCCATATATAATATTTCCCCACCAAGTGCCGATATTTACCTCAGTTTTCAGAGAAGGGGGAAGGCTTCCCACTCTGGTGGCCATTAATCTTGCTCAGGACTCTTCTCCTGGTGGCTTGGATTAGATTTTGTATGCCATTTCCTGGATACAGAAAAATGTTTAGCTAGCTAGGCAATTTGGCAAGATTTATTTAAACAAACTTCTGCCTTCTGTGTTTTTCCATTGTATATGTGGAAATTAGGAGATTTTATATGATCATCCAAGCAGAATGGAAAAACTAATATACAGAACAAGAATGGGTGGGTAATTTCTCTTTCTTCTGTCAAAAATTTGACTTGTAAGAAAGATAAAGTTTTAGTGAGATGATGTGTCAAGAGCAAAGGTTCACTGACTAGGTTTATTCCTTAAAAATGTTTGACCTTAGATGATCCTAAGCAGAGTTACACCCTTTGAAACCCATTGTCTCTGCTTAGGATGGCACTGCCAGGTAGCAGACCACATATATCTGCCAAGCACCTAGAAGTCTAGCTAATCTAAACAGGAGTGACATTCTAGTCAAGAAAGGGATGGCAAGGACCCTGCAAAAATTGGTCTGGGGAGATGCTTTTTGCTTCCCAGTGGCTGAAATATCCTCACACTTTCATGTTGTTTCCCTTAAAAGAAGAAGAAGAAGAGATTGGATTTATACCCTGCGCTTCACTTGGAGTCTCAGAGCAGCTTACAAACTCCTTCCCCTCCCCACAACAGACACCCTGTGAGGTGGGTGGGGCTGAGAGAACTCTGACACAAACTGCTGTTTCAGGAACAGCTGTGCCAGAGCTTATGACTGACCCAAGGTCACATCAGCAGGTGCAAGTGGATGAGTGGGGAATCAAACCCGGTTCTCCCAGATTAGAGCCTGCACACTTAACCACTACACCAAACTGGCTCTGCTGTGGCATCCATGTGCCTGTTTTCCACTGATATTTTACTAATTTTTAAATAACTTCTTTTAGCATAAACTAATCCTGCAGTCTTCTGATCCCAGAACTCCCCAAGTCTGTTATGTGTCCCCTTTATGGTGCCTTGTATAGGTTTATTAAGTTGCTGATCCATACATAAGGGAAGCTGGACAAGTTTAGCACTATGTAAGAAAAATAATAAATGGGAGGAGAACCCACTTGTGTGTGCGAGAAATGGAAGAGAAGCTAAGCACAATGAGTTCTTGTTTGAAAGAAACGTACTTTTCCAACTCACTTTACATTTGTTTGTTTGGTTTTTATCCTGCCCAGTATTATTCAGTTTATTTTTTTCTCTTTTGGGGCACGAGATTCTTCTGTGTATATTATGAACATATTGGGCCAATATCTGCTTTTAGAATTTGTAACATAAATTAAATCTGTGAAATAACCAGCAGGGGGAGCATGAAAGAACATTGGGCCTTTTAGCACAGAAGCACTGTGCATATCAAGAGACCCCTCAGCTGAAAACAAAATGTTGTTCTTGCCGAATATCTATGGTTCGTTTATCATTTTTCACTGTCAGTCCAAAGGACACTTCATGATGAATGTCTTCGGCCTCAGCATTTAGTCTGGAAGTGTTGATCTTAAAATGAAGAGTTTAGAGTACAAACCTTTCTGAACAACAGCTTTGTTTATCACCCTTTGCAGTGATGCTTGTTTTGTTACTGACATTAATTTTTTAAAGTTCTGGAAACAGAGAGAATGTTTTTGTCTTTCTGCCTGGTAAAATGTAAATAAAAGCAAACGATTGCTAACTGTCTCTAACAACTTTAGCAAAGCAGTTCACTCATCTGTCCTAACTGGTAACACATGTGACATTCAAGTCGAGAATATTGCTTTCATTAGAAATGCTCTGATTCTGCTTTGTCTCTGACGGTGTAGTTTCCATATTGATCTGTCTGGCAGGAAAGTCATTTTTTAGCATTTGTGTTTGCTAACAGAGATACTTGGAAAGGACAGAATGCAGCAAGAGGGTCAAAGCTTCGCCATTTCATCTTATTTTATTATGGGCAGTGCAACAAGGGACCAGGAATCATCTTGTTTTTATATTATAAGAGCATTTTAAGTAAAGGGTGAAGACATTTAAAATAAGTTTAGGCCCAAATTTGCCCTTCTGCGTGTGAAAGGGTGCTTGGGTTGAGATTCTCTGCCTATTCCTGATGCATCCTCTACAGCCCCATCCCTATGTAATTCTGGAGATCCTCAGGACGGGCTTTGCAGGGGGCAGAAGGGACTGAAATAGGAAGTGGCAGATGGGAAAGTTTGTTGGATTGCTCTTATTTTGCTTATGTAAAATGTCAACTCTTCAATAAAGAAAATTAATTCTTTAGCTAAGGTCTGATGGCCTGGAAAATGCAGGTCCTTGTTTTTCATTAATCACTTTTTCATTTTTGGATCTGATTTTTTTAATGATGTCTTTTAGGATTTAAGTTTTATGTTCTTTGTGATTGATTGTAATGGGCTTTGACTATATATAATCATTCCTATCGCTATCACTAATATTGTTGCACGTGGCTTGACTCTGGAAGATATTGCTCTGTAGGCATCTTCTACGAGGCATCTGATTTCTGCTTGTAGAAGGCTAGCACTGCGGAAGCACTAGTACTGCAATCTTATGTCAAGAGGAGTGGACCAAGAATATTTGAAGCCCCTTAAGCTATCCTAAGCAGAGTTATACCCTTCTAAATCTATAGAAGGCAATGAGATTAGAAGGTCTTAACTGTTTAGGATGACACTGTTATCCCCCCTCCCAAAAAAAGAAAGTTTGAAAAGAGTGTCATTGCTGGTGGTGTGTATACGAATTCATGTACATGTGGAAAACAAGTTATTCAAGGTTTTTTAGTTCTTTTTTTTTGCCCCCCCCCCCGAAGTGGATTTTTTAATTGATTTTCTATAAACTACAAAGAAAAATAGGGTAGGGAGTCTAACATCTACAGGAGAAAGAAAAGTTAACCACTAAAAGCCCAAGTAGTGAAGATCATTACATAAGCTTATAAAATGTTAGTATAATCTATTAATAATACAATGAGCTTGAATGTTTAAATCTAGCTAATACTCTCCAAAAACCGATGAAAGTTACTGTTTAAGGCAATCACAAAAGCATCAAAAATGAAGAAAAAACAGCTTCTTAAAGGTGAAATTCAGAGTTCCTCAGCATCTCATTTCTTAGC